CAATCATTGGCTGCCCCATCAAGCAGCAGCACGAGACTTCCCTGTGTTTCTCCGGTGTGTCGTAGCCATGTTGTAGAGTATCCTTCAGCAAGGGCAGCAGCAGCATCAGTGAGTAGTACACATCTTCGTGTTGAGCAGTAGTGGTGGATCTTATTGGTGTGGTACTCGACGAGAGACACTTTGTGTCCAACCAGCACACTCACACACATATATATAATGAGCAAGTAAAACTCACTCCGTCGGGACTCGAACCCATGACCTGACCCCTACTATGGCAGGCTACGAGGCTACCCACTATTATTATAGGCCACCGGGGCGACCGTATACCGGGGCGAGTTTTTTTTTTTTTTCCATCATTGGACTCTGTCGTCTGCCCCTCTGGCCCCCATCCTCCACTTCTACCCGCCAGACGACCCAACCGGGGTCACATAGGAGGGGGGGGTTGGACCCTCCTGCGGTTCCTGCCTGAGAAATTCTTATCGCGATACAGCAATCCCTTCCCTCGCGACTTTAGAAGTCGCTCGCTCAAGGATACTAACAACGAGCTTTGCAGCGCGTCGCTTCCAACGGAGATCAGGATTTAATAAGTGAGAAAAAGCTCTTTCTGTCGGGACTCGAACCCATGACCTGGCCCTTAGCAGGCTGCGAGGCAACCCACTAGACCACCGGGACGGACCGAGGCGAGTATTATTTATTTATTTTCTCCCATCATTGGACTCTATCGTCTGCCCCTCTGGCCCCTATCCTCCACTTATACTAGCTAGACGACCCAACCGGGGTCACATAGGAGGGGGGGGCTGGACCCCCTCCTGCGGTTCCTGCCTGAGGTATTTTTATAGCGAGAAGGGTACAGCAATCCCTTCCCTCGCGACTTACGAAGTCGATATTTACGAGGCGATGATGTAGGTACTTGATTGTGCCTTTTTGCCTTTTATTTCTCTTTCGACTCTAGATTTTTGATGCGCATTTGCTTCATGTACACTTATGAATACCAGCACATCGGGTACAGGACGCTTGGTATCTACAGGATAGGTGGAAAACTACAAATGCCGTCCTTCTCATCCGACAAGAAAGTTATTTGCTTTATGCAGCAGTAATGACGGCACGATACAATGAATATTATAGCTTTGGGGTGTATTAATTATTATTTGGTTTTGGGGAGGTAATATAATGTGTAGGTTCTATCAATAACAATGCCGTTGGCTCCTCGTCGTGCATCGGACAGAACGACGGCGACAGCCAAATCACTCAAACGGCGTGAGAGGACATCATCCATCCGTGAGAAGACATTGCAACAGAATCTGAACGGCGGCTAGTGTTTGTGCTGGCTCCACACCTCACACCGCCCACCGCCTATCTACCTACAAGTAGCCGTAGCCGTGGCTCTCCTGGGCTGCGCGAAAAGGTAGCACATGTAGATATGGCAACATCCGCTATGCATAGTCTACGACGTGAATCAAATTACTTATAATAACCAATTAAAAAGTGCGCGTGCCCTCCCCCGAATTAATTGTTTGTTCAGCGTTTTAGTATACATGCAGCCCGTGAGCCAGTCATGCGTTGGTTGATACCCCGACAATTGGCGGTAACCGCGTACCATGCATCACCTTCGCACCACTCGCTCATGACAACACTACATGATATTTGGCTCGGGTCTCTGCCTGAGTGACGCACCCACGCACCCACGAGATGCTGCTCACATTCAAGTCGTGCTTCTTTCTTACAACAGCAGCCGTGCTGGTGTGCAATGCTTTGGGACTCTCCGTCGTTCGCTCTGCAGCACATTTCTTAGTTGATCGAATTGGAGATGTAGAGCAGGTGGGTCGAGGTTTAAGTACCCCATCGGCAGTTGCCTGGCAGCAGTTCTTTTTGTGCTGTGAAACTATCGAGTGTATGCGCCGTGCGGTCACATTTATTTGCTACAACAGCTGCGCTGAACGTTAGAAACACACGCTACTCTGTACATTGCTGTTGTTGTGCAGACGAGAGGCACGCCGTTCATGTACAAAGATCCCTGCGAGACGGCCCACAAAAGTATGGGCAAGCCAAGCTCCAACCTTCATGGGCAGCACGCGTGTCGGGGGAAGGGCGAGCAAGCAAGACACCCATCGCTCTCGCACCTGGTGTCATGGAGCGCGGGCCATACACAAACCCCGCGCACAGAACCGATTTCAAAATCGAAGATATTCTAAAACGCCGAAAGACGGCGACAGCACACAGCAACACGCGAGAGTGTTCCCAGGCACCGCACAGACAGGCCTCGATCTCCAGGCAACGCACAGGGCACAGCAGCAGTTGAGCTCGCTATCGCGAAAAAAACGCTTCTGTTCTACTCCACACACCACTCTCCGAAAACACACCTCGGTCGGTTTGACGACGAGATCTGCGGGCGGAGCCGCCGCCGGAGTGGATGCCCCTGCCGCGGTTTGATCCTTGGATGACGTACACCCCATGTTGTCTCTCCTCCGGTGGTTCGCGCACGATGGCAGGCAGGGAGCAGGCGACTAGGATGAAGAAGGTGTTTCAAGTGGACAACAAGCGAACAGAAAGGTCAACGAAGGGAAGTTGAAAGTAGGGGGCACCGCAGAACTATTTGTCTGGCTCTTTACAAGACAATCTAAGGAAGCATTTTTCGTGTCCCTCGCATCTCTGTCTTTGCTCGCCCTTTTTCCCCAGACAGGGTACGCACACGCACACGCGTTCGTGCATCATGATCATGACTTCTGTATGCAACGTTGGTGTAGCGCGTGACGTAATTTGTGGAACTCATGAGCGCAGTATGTTTATGTTACCCACAGTGGGGTTATCTGTCTGGGAAACCGTAGGCATACAGGTAGCCTTTCGCTCATGCTATGGATTCATTGCTAATCTATCTTAGACATATTTCTATAGATGAGATGGATTTGTTGTGATATTCTTGCGAAAAAAAAAAAAACATTTATGCCGAGAAGATCCAAAGATCCGATGATAAAAGTCTTGCCTTGCGTTAGATGAAGAGAGTTTTTTTTAGATGCTCGTATGTTTTTCACGTTGTGGCGGATTGGTTAATCTGGATTGAACGCATACGGACCCTCCCACGACTCTATGCTGTTGAGAGGCACCAAAGAAGGAGACGTTTGAAGTTATCCGAGCTATGCAGGTCGAAAGGTAAGTGCCTCAATTCGTCCCCTCTCTCCCTTACTTACCTGGTGCAGCTGTTCTCTGTACACACTCCTGACCGCCTCGATTTCACGGAGCCCCCTGTCCTCGACGGCGATCAATGATACAACACTCATTGTGATGCGCCTCACACAGCGCGGGGGCTGTTCAGTGCCACTGACTGGCGCATGAAAACGATTATGGAGGGTTCATCTTCCCAACGGTCACTCAATATGCATGATGGTGCTGCCGAAGCCAGCGCTACAAAATCAGATGAAGCGGTGAGAATAGGTTTGCCCGCACAAGATTAAGCCCGCCTCACACAACGCAGCAGCACCCGTACACTCTGCTAGGCTGGTAGACCTCGTGTTACAGTAGTGTGCGCATATACTATCGCTGCTCGTGCTAGAAGGGACTTTGATAGGATGAGTTTTCCGGCTCTGTTTCCGCGACCCCGTGAACCTGGCCCTCATCGTGGGTCCTGGCGAATTGGCTCCTGCTGTGGGCGGGCCATATAAACCGAAACGGGCAAGAGTGGACATCTGCTACAGCAGTACTTCAATAACTGAGGTACTGTCTACGCCTGCCGCTGTAAGACAAGAGCTTCGTTCCAGTAGTGTACAACGGAACGGAGAGAAGAAGACGGAGGCCTGTGAAGACGTTAGTTTCATTTTACAGTTGACTGTTGTAGCACGCAGCTCAGCTGTCCACAACTCCATGGTCGTACCTTTTTGCGATGACGACAAGCCATCCTTCCATGGCGATGTACAACCGCTGCAGCAGTATCTACCGTACGATGATACCGTAAGTGACACAAGATAGCACACTCACAGAAGATAGCACACCCCCAACACACCTCTCCAGGAAAGCACACCGGGTGATGGTTGTTTTGGACACGGAAAAAACGCCAATTTATCACACCGGTGACACAAGATAGCACACCCCCTACAGTTTCCCCGCATTTCCAATCACAGAGCGCCCATTATCACACCTGGTGGTTGGTGGCTGGCGGTACGGATGTGCACAGCCCGATATGCACACACAGGAACAGGGGCACACAGCTGGTATGCACACAAAGAAGGACAACACGGAGGTGGAGCAGGTACACAACCCTCCTGGAAGCAACTCTGCTGGAAGAGACGAGGCTCAGACGGCGCCATCAAAGTCGGCCCTCGTATCACGCCCCTCAAAGGAATGCGCCGGCAACAATGTGATGACAAGAGAGATAGCACACATCCTTCCTTGTTTATGACACATCTGCAAGGATTGTGCGTGTTTGCAGAATAGAGGTACTACACACACCCTTGATACATCACACCTTTCTAATAGGAATATTTTGAATGTGGGGGCAGAAATTAAATGACAAAAGAGACATCACACCCCCTTTAAATCACACCCCTTCAAGGAGAGTGGGTGCCGCAATCTGCTTGCAACGTTACCATCACCCTCCATTTATCGCACCCCTTCAAGGAATAGTGAAGCTGGTAAATATGTTATCACATACCCTTTTCTTCAGCTCCCAGATATGCCCGCTCCCTCTGTGGAAACTTAATCGGGTTTTCGTCGCTTGGTAACGACGTTGTAAATCAAGCCAATTCATTTCATGAACTCGGCATCGGCAACCAGGTTACCGTTCTTGTTTTTTTTTACCTCTTTTTTTTTGGCGGTAACCACAATGGTGGTCAAGTAGATCATGTTGTGCGGGGTTGAGAAGCCTCACTCCGCGCAAGGGGGATGATAGCACCACGTTGTGTTAAAATGGTCAAGCACTCTCGAGGCAGTTACGCAGTGCTTACAGCTGTCGCTGGAAGTGAAGCACCAGAAAATAAAGTAAGTCATACGCAGCTGTCATCCGTACGCAAGGAAGTAAGCACAAGATGCCGAACACCC